TCCGGAGCCCGGGACGATGGATCTTCGGAGCGTGAGTCACTACACGAAACAAGGTTGAGATGAGATGATGCACAATCCTTCAAGTATACACGTATTTCTCTTCTTCTTCTTCACTTGGAGGGAAAACAGTGCTCCCAGATTTCTCGTATCAAAAATATCTGTCATGCCCTCCCCCCTCCTTCAAATAGATCGAGATGGCTGTGGCTTTGACCTGTGAAGATGCCTAAGGGGCATGGATTGGGGGGTTTGATTTGATGAAAATAATATTCCCGCAGCGCAACCATGCGCTCCGTTCTTGGGTACGGAAATTTGGGCTTCCGGAAGAAAATAAGCCTGCGCCGTGGATTTTAACCCGCAGGCCTGACTGGGCTCTGACGGTTGGGGAAGGATTCGAGGTCGGCGATGACTGGGATGGAAGGGGAAGTGGGTTGCCAGGTTCTCTTTCTTTCTCCTTCGACTTCTATCTCTGTGATGTCCTTTGCTCTTCTGAAGTTGTCTCTTTCGCCCGCCTGTTGACCCCATTCTCTCTTTTTGTCGTCTGGTGTGGATACAGCAGGAAAACTGTTTTAACGTATTCCGAAATGATCCACAACTTTCGAAGGAAAAACTTCAAAAAGCGGTCCCCGTCCGCCCACCTCCCCGGTTGAAGAACGCAGCGAAACCCGAGGCTTGCAGGATCCAAGTCAGCAAGCAAAGCGGGCTGGGGCCGCTCCAAATCTCAAATCAGTCAGACTGAACCAACTGCCGCATTTCAAAAGGTCTGAAGGGCCCCCCCTGCATGTCGTCAAGCTCGTCAACGACCAGCACCTTGTCCAGCCACTAGGAGGGGTTCGCCGTCTTATTAGCGGCACTAGTGACAGGGTCGGAATGAGAAGGCGGACATTGGGCGAGTGAGCCCGACCAGAGAGAGAGGGAGAAAACAAGTTGGAGAAGAGAGACAAGACGCAGTACTCGTACTGTAGTAATGGCGGTCTGGTCCTCCGAGCAGCAATTGCGCGTGTGGCGCCACAGGCTTGGCCGGGCGTTTGGGGAAATCCACGAACCCGATGCCGTTCTCTATTGCCTCAGCCTAGCCCCAATCTAATCGGAGCAAAGCGAGCGACCATGTGGCTGCTACCCGCGCGGTAATCCCTAAGCAGCGGACGAGATGCTTCCTACGCGTGCTAGCATCATCTTGGGACCGTCGCAGCCCCCTCAGCTCAGGCCTCAAGAGGCTGCCGGGTCTCCGGCCAGGCGTCGCTGTCATTCGCCCGTTTTCGTGGGTTGTCTCGTGTTTCTTCCATTTCTCTTCGTTTCCTGTTCTCGTCCTGATTCTCTCTTCTTCCGTGCTGGAAACTGGAATTACACCACACTTACACTACACGCTTGACTAATTCGATTTTTGCTTGGTGTTCGCTTTTTAATGCCCCCGCGTTGTTAGTATTGAAGAAAAAACAGGCCACATCAATTACTTGTACGGACTTTGCGAGCCAGAAATTTCAAAGAAATCAGATCCAGGGCCCTCCCTTTTTCTCTTGAGCCCCCCCAGGATTCCCACCTTAATACATACCACCACCTACCACCTCTCTATTTTCATAACCCATTCCCTACCTATTCCACAAACGAGCACTGTTACTACTATACCTCGTACCTACATATAAGGCACCCGAGTTGCAGTGCCCGAGTCCTATTTGAGAGCGGCAGAAACCCCATTTCAATCAACTCGCCCTGACGCCCCGTTTCCCTTTCCGGGTGGCGACCATAGTTCCGTACATAACTCGTACACCATCTGCCGGTTGGGGAGACATCGCAGCTTCTCAGCACATCCACATCCGACACAGCAAAGAAACCACCATGGACTTCGCAGCCCAGTATGCCTTTGGCACTCACCAGGCCTTCCCGGGGGCTTTTATGCCTTTGACGCCTTCACACTCCCAATCAGCTGGCTCGGACGATTTCAGCAATACCTCCCCGCCTGTCAGTTTATGGTCCCCCACTCCCCCGAAAGCGCAGCTTCTCGTGCCTTAGCGCTCCTTACTTGAGCATTACGAGAGAAGACTAATCACCACAATCGAGCCATTGCGCTCGAAGTGACTTGCTTGTTGACGGTTGACTGATGCTGACTCAATCCCCTTGTTTGCTCCATCTACAGGATAACTTCGCCGACCACTTCAGCGCATTCGACTACTCCCAGCCATTCGGCGGCCATCACCAGCCGGCATTTGGCCAGCATCCGAGCCCTCCCCCTCTGCCGCAACACCAGCATCACCAGGAGCAGCAGCAGCAGATCGGCTCCGGCCGCCAGCCGCACTCGCCTTCCACAAATGGCAGCGTCAACGGCAGCAGCAGCAGCATGCGCGGCGATGGCGGATCCGGATCCGTGACCAAGGCCGAGGCCAACGCCGACGAGCTTCGCGGCAGCGACGACGACGATAACATGACCCCGGCCCAGTCGCGAAGAAAGGCCCAGAACCGAGCTGCGTAGGTTTTTTTTTTTCTATTCTGATTCTTCTTCTTTTCCCTCATTTCCTTTCCTGGCCCTTGCTCCCCTTTTCGGTGCAGCCCCGGCATCTCTTGGAGTAACATCGAAGCCATGGAGCTGTGGATCGATGTGTCCGGGGATGCATTCAGCACGCTGCATTTCGGAATTTTACTAGATACCCATTCCGATTCCCCTGCTTCTACCTCTTGAGCATTTGAAAAACAAAAACAAAAAGAAAAGAGAAAAGAGAAAAAAGAAAAAGAATATCAGTCCATGGCTTATCATTGAAGACTGAATACTTTTTACCTCTATTCAAGCATTAACTGACCTTGTTTTTTTCCTACTTGCAGTCAAAGAGCATTCCGCGAACGCAAAGAAAAGCATGTCAAGGACCTCGAGTCCAAACTCGCAAGCCTCGAAGCCGCCCAAAAGGAAGCCGCCAATGAAAATGAGCGCCTCCGACGAGATCTGCAGAGAATGTCCACCGAGAACGAGATTCTCCGTGCCACCTCTGCCATGAACCAGAACCAGAATGGCTCTCACTCTCCCGAACCTCTAACAACGGGGCCCATGACTTACACACCTACTGATTTCTACACTAACGTGCTCGAGGGCCACAAGAACAAGTTCCCCTCGCACCGTATAGTCACCTCCGACGATGGCCACAGGCTGCTTGCTGCCGGTGCCGCCTGGGATTTCCTCCTGGAGCACCCGCTGTACAAGCGAGGCCTGGTGGACGTCAGCAAGGTGGCCGAGCACATGAGGCGAATGGCCAAGTGTGACGGACAGGGGCCTGTCTTTTCCGAGGGCGACATCAACTATGCCATTGAGCAGAGTGTCGCCAGTGGCTCCGATGACCTCTTGTAGGCAGATGAGACACGCAGAAAGAAAAGACAGGGGGTGAAGAGCGAGGAGATGAGGAGGTGAGCCGAGACCGGGATGAGGAGGGGAATTACCTGGAGCCTGATATTCTTGGTCTTTTTTTTGGGCCAGAGAGAGCGAGAGCGAATTGTATCATGACTTTGAAATGTTGCATACGACTTGGCGTATATCTGCGGGGGTTGCTTTTGGGTCTCCATGGACTACACTACACTACACTGAACTGATTTGATTTGATTTTATTCTTATATCCTCTGGTCTCTTTCCCCGTGGATGCGGTCAAGCCCAATCGGCGACTCGGGGCCTGTTCCGGGGCGCTTTACGTCGGACGATCTTCTCCGACCCTATCACGACACTGATTATGCGCGCTGTGCCGCTACTCTGCACATGTACGAGTAAGAGGCGTTCTATTTCCTTTTGCATGAAACAAATCATGTCATGTACGAGTACATGTAGGGAGCACAGATTGCAGCATGTGTTTACCACCATCCATGCTTGAGACTATGTTATTTCGCATTGGTGACCATCCACGGTCATACCCGCACAAAAAGCAAAAAAATATACATTAGAAAAAAAATGACAAAATCAAGAGGCGTCCAAAACCCCTGCGTCCACCGCGTCTGCCTCGGAATATTCCCCCTCACCGGGAGGATGCTCATTGTTTCAGCCGCAGCAAAAAAAAAGAGAAAAAAGCAAACAAGGACGACAAAGAGATGAGCAAGACAAGACATTTTCAGCCGCACCTGATACCCACTTTTCAAATCCAATCCAGGAGGATGAGTTTGGCCTGGGCGGTTGCCGGCATTGGGCATATTACTACTTGCAACTTATGGCAGGCCATGGGCTGGGCACGTCCGATCACGATCACGACTGAACACAATAACCAGGCAGTGCCACCACGGGGAGAGACAGTACAGAGACGTACGAGCAAGTGAGCACAAGCAAGACGCGTTGAACATCGGCCGATATTCGAGGAATCGCCGACCTCTGAGGTTTCGTCCGCTGGCGGATAGACGGACGGGTACTCGGTAGGACCAGGCAGGCTCTGGTGAGATTTGGTCCTGGTTTGGTTCTGGATTTGGTAGTGCTTTTTTTTTGTTTTCTTTTCAACCCGCTCCCCCATGTCCTGTATCTATCTAGTTGCATTTGCATTGCAGTTAATCAAATATCCCTTGCTTCTAATCCCCTGAGCACCGCCTCTCTTGTGCGTAGAATGTGCTTGTTTATGCGTGACACGTGCTTGTTCATATCCTCGTCTCCAGACAGAACAAAATGTAAACAGAGCGGCCTGGAGAGCAGCCTCCATGTTCATGCATGCCGCAATGGCCTCGTTCCGGCAGACTCGCGCTGGATCGTGATTCAGTGGTCAGCAACCAGGTCGCCGGGTTGTATCCATAATGGAGAGAGAGGGAATCGAATCATCGGTGTGGTGGCAGCGCAATCCAGTGCCGCATCTCTCCTCCCCTCAGTGGCTGATTTTTCATGCGGCCCATCACAAGACCTTGTCAACCGGATCTGCTCCCAAAATTGCCGCGCTCTTGTCTCTCCCTGGATGGAGCCAATAGAGCCAATGATTCCGGGGTTATTGCTTCGCACAGACCGGAAAAAAAGAGGGGGAGGAGGAAGCCACAAACATTCAAGTTTGCTGTCTTGGCCCGGAGGAGCTCACATCCGCTCGTTTATACAGCCTCGTTTTTGGGCCTCCAATAGAGACGCGTTCTTGACCTTGATTAACCCCGCCTTCATCCCATCAGTTGACCTATCCTGTCTCAGGCCCAGGGTAGAAACCGGGAACGAAAAAGCAAAACCACAAACACCTTTGGCGCGGCTAGCAAAAATATCCAGTAATAGGAGACATAGTCGTACGTGCTTCTAGTAATATCAGTAGTAATACTATGAGAAGTTGACAGTAATACGCCAGAAAGAGGGAGAATGGAGGGTAGGAAGCTTGCAGATGGGAAAATTGGCCGGCGATGGATTGGGTATAAGAGTTGAGAGCTTCCCCAAGCAGTCGCTAAATTCTTCCTTCCTTCAAAGATATCTTCCCGTTCCTGCATCTCTCTTATATAACCACCTTTCGTTCAAGTCAATCGACGTTCTCTCTTTGATATCATCTTTTTTGCTTTGTTATCGTACTACCTTCATTATAATGGAAACCATCATGGAAGACGAAGCTGAAGCTTCAGGTCTTACTCTAGCCGACCCCGAGGTCCCTCCTCTTTTCTATGTCGAGTCTACCGAACAGCCTGGCGTCTATCGTCGCTCATTTGAACTCACTGACAATATTTTCCCTCCTTACTTGGATCCAATTCCTTCTTGGATGAAAACAATGCTCGCTGCGGATGCTACACCTTTAATCCGCGGAACGACTCCAGACATGTTTCCTCCCCTCTTTTTTTATTCTGCTTCACAGCCTCTTCCCTCTGAGTTTATTCTGCCATTCAGCGACCGTCCCAAAAGCTTCTATATTTCCCTTACCCATGATAATTCCATTGTTAATATCCATGACAACTCTCCCAAGGCAAGATGTGGTCCTGCCGCTCAGAGGGTCCTCCGCACTCCAGAGCTCCTGGAGAATATCTTCCTCAGGCTCGACATGGCTACCGTTCTGACATCTGTTCAACGAGTCAACAAGAACTTCAAGCGGGCCGTTGATGGATCGCTTGCCCTGCAGCGGATGCTCTACTTCAAATTTGACAGGAATGCCGAAACCGGTCTCCATCCACAGGCAGCCTACAACGGAGATGACCGCGAGGAATTCCCGATCCTCAACAGTCTCCTGGTCAAGCATTTCGGGAGCTGCTTCTTCGATTTTGGCGATGTCTATGGTTGGCAGCGTCGGGCAGAGTCCTTCTACGAGAATAAATGGACGCGCCACCACCACGAGTTAAAGGTCGACATGATGTTCGGGCGCCAAAAGATATACAGACCAGTACGCCCCGATCTTGATTCCGTGCAGAAGCTTCAAGCCAGTCAGGATAGAGACCGATTCACCCGAGCTGGTGCGAGTTGGCGCAGGATGCTCGTGTGTCAGCCTCCAATCTATGACTTTGGTGCCATGATCTTCCAACCCGTCGATCCCTCTCGGCCTGTCCCCCAGAAGATGGAAAAGGCCATCATCAAGGCCGAAGATGACGAGTCGGGCCTTTGCATGGGCCAGCTCTACGACTTTGTCCAAGAACGCGCCGGCAACCACCCCCTTGACTCCCTGTGGTTTCGCGTTACCTGGTTTGATACCCAAGGGCCATTCACATCGACTCTCTGCTCCGACACCGCCATTGAATGGGTCATTGACGGCGTGCCCATCGTGATTGAAATGTTCCACAAGAACGATAGTCTCCGTCCATTTCACCCACCTGACCCGCCAAAGCCCGATGTCTTTGACAAAAACTTCAAGTGCAAGGACTTTAAGCCCCATGAATGGGTTCCGGATGAGGCCGTCATCGATTACTATGGTCGAGGATACGAATCAGCTTCGCCGCTGATGAACCAGGATAAACAAATGATTTGGTGCGGGTCTCCTAGTATGTGGCCAGGTAAGCTAATCCCCCTTCTCTCACCCTCTTCCTCCTGTTGATGGTATGTATGCTAACCCTGTTCAAGTGGTGTAAACACCAATACTTCCATGTTGCAAGCGGGCGGGTGGGAGGGCAACATGGGGGACGGCTAGATTGTTTTTTGTTTCTTTTCTTTTTGCATTCAGCCCTGGGTCGCCTCTTGGCTAAGAGGTCAGGATGAGGGCGTTTGGGATGGGATGGAATTGGTTGGCATGGAATTGGCCAAAATGGCCAACGGTCTGGCGTTGGTGTCAGAAATGGGTAGGAGCTTCTTCTTCGGCTATGGTAGAAGCCTTAATTGGCTCTTAGAGTTTTGCGGCAGCAATGAACATGGAATGTAATCTAACAAAATGGTTTGTTTAGATAGGTAGGTAGATAGATATGGGAATAATTGAGCTCTTTGGCTGCTCATCTGGTGTCTGTGTCTGTGCCTCCATTGTTCAATAAGCCCAACAGCGGCATTGTGTCCAAGCGATGCACATGTGATATGTAACGCCTTTGTTCAAATTGAAAGAAAAAGAAAATACTACAAAAAGATTCTTCTTCGCGAAAGATTCCTCTTCACATAGGATTCCTCTTCGTGTAGGATTGTAGAAGCCAACTCTTGTTCGGGTAGTACAAGCGTTTTTCAAACCCAAACGAGGGTCGGAGAGAGCCGTAATGTCCAAGCCAAGCCTCAAACTCTGTGGGATATATCTACCGAACAATAATCGTCATGCGTGTGATTGACGAATGTTTTGGTTGATGATGGGTCGAGTGGTCTTGACTTCGCTGGGCATCAGCCTGGGACAACTGCTGGCGGACTGCCCGTAAATCACTCCACTGCTATTGGCCTTTCAGACGTACTGACTGTTCCCCTTCCAGAAGTACATTTCATCTGCACAAGGTCCTAAACTTGACTATCATTTCATTGGAAATGTTGCTCTTGATTTCTTCTACGAGGATGCATGATGCCTCTACTTCAGGAGTAGCTGATTCCATGCCCGATATGGGAAGTGTTTGCATGTACGAATCATACATCATCATTGGGTCTCTTCGATCCGCAGTTTAGCAATGATTCTACGCATATATAACTGTAAGCTGTAGGAGATAATGGTCATGCACCCTTGAAGCCCACTGTTCAGTTGATGTGCGGCTGTAGTTAGTGGCTATCCCCCCCCCCTGAAACGGCGACCATTCACTCCATTCCCATCCTCTATAGCTCTTCAGTATCCTCAAACGGCCATTCTTGAGCATTATAAAAAGAGCAGAATGTTCCTAAAACGTTATAGATATGTGCAATCTCTTCCAAAGGCCATACACGAGCTCAACCCAGGAGTGCAGCCCAAATATGCTTCACCATCCTCGACAAGGAGAAAAGGAACGGGCAGTATCTCTGCCCGCACGTGATTCTTCACCACACAGGGAATTATTCTGTTAATATTCTACCTTTCTTCTGTTCTTTTCAAAATTTCTGCCGTTATCATCGACATGACAGAAATCATTTCTCCGTCCACTGCAGCCGGCATCTCTACAACCCAAGGTAGGTGAACACTTGAGACATCCCGGAATGCGAGAAAACGTCTGAACATCTCTCACATTCTTTTAAAGAAATTGGTTGAGAGGGTGGCTCGTTACTTCCCCATCTGTAGACAATCATCTCCCCTGACGCTGTGATCGCATCGCAAAGATTGAAGTTGAGAAATGATCTGTCTTGAGTATTCCACACCCAGCGTTTGTCTCCCCTTCTGTTTGATCTGTTTGTTCTTTAACGGAAAATTTCAAGATTTACTAATCAAATGGTGCTGCAGTTAGTTTGATCTGCAAGGAAATATCTTCTTCTGCGATTGGCTCTACCTGCCAATCTAGGTATTTGACAACTTTGCCGACATATTTTAGTACCTCTACTAACTAACTGCAAGGTCTTCCGAACGATGCGAAGCATCATTCAGTTGCCGAAGTTCAAAAAGTTGTCGAAGTTCAAGCAGTCGCCTCGTTGACAGTGGAATAGTCCTTCTCTTGGGTAAGTTCTCCAACGATGTTCGCGTCTTGGCGGCTGTTCTCGCCCACTTAGAATTATGACTAACTATCTACCGACAATCTGCAAGTTGTTGGAGAAATTAAACATGTTTGCTTTCGCTGAAATCGAAATGGTTCCCTTGATGAGATTCTCCGCCTATCTGCCTCAGCATACTCTGAATAGCACCACTAACGAAAGCCGAAGTGGTATTATCCTCGGTTGAGCCGCCACTCTCCCAATTGCTCCCAGGAGAAATTATTTTCCGCACAACTTCGAAAGATTTCTAGTCATTATCCATCACGTTTAGCATTCTAACACTTACTGAAAAGTCAGTGACATAGATCCTGATGGGAATAAGATGATGCTTTCGTTGTATTGAAGCAGTTTTCTTATCGAGGTTGGTTCACTTCCCACGCCAGTATACCATCATGTCTAACATTTTTTAAGTTGTGATACTCCAGACTGTAGATACAAATAGAGAATTACAGCTGCGTTTCTAGAGATGACTTATGATGACAACTATCTGTGAGACGTGGCTCCTGACCTTGGTAAGTATGCCTCAAACCTCTTGTGATTAGAGTTAGTTCATATGAAATCTCTGTCCAACCCTATCTCATGTACTAATATTTCTCTTTGTTATCTATAGCTAGATTTCACGAATATCCTTGAATAAAGAATTTTATTCTCTCCCCGCCGCTTAAAAATCGCATGAGAGTACAAGAGCATTATACCAACCACTGATCGATTGTGAGAGAGAATCATGCAGAGATTGAATGAAAGAGCATTGCGCTACAAGCATCTCGAACGAGCAACTATCGAACGAGCAACTATCGAACGAGCGAGCGAACGAACGAACGAACGAAGCGAACGGGCACCTCATGGTGCGACGGCGATCGGACGAGCGGTTTATAAGGGATACTGGGGATATAAACTCGGGGGCTCGAGAGAGCAAAAAGGATGAGGCTGAGAATACCACTTGATCATCCAACCGTAATGACAGATGTACAGTTTGTCCGCCGGTCTGACCTCAGTTAGAACAAATAAAGTTGCAAAAATATGCTACGAATAGCCAGCCGGTTAGAAGAATGAATATCCCTACTAATACCACTTAAGGTGTCAACAGTCCTTGTACCCAACATATACGGGTAAGTCAAGTCTTCTTCACTTCACATATCTCATCCCTTGATCCGCTCCCTTGGCCCGGGGAATAGAATTGGCTCTCTCCATTTTCACAGAGGCACTGGTTTCATGTGAATAACATCATATTTCCCCTCTCCCCGAAGTTTTAATTACTCAATCTCCTTATGTCTTTGTATTGACAACTTTGCTTGGATAGCCGTCATTTAATGAACCCAAGCAGGCCCTTATCAATTTCTTATTCCAACTAAACACCTCTAGAAGTTGCTACTTCCCTGATTGTTCAAAACCTTTCTATCCTCTTTGATGATGTCCGCAGCCCTTTCTGCAACAGTATAGACCATGGTCTGGATATTTCCCGCGATCTGAAGAGGAAAGACACTGGCGTCAACAACTCTCAGCCCTTTGGTACCATACACTCTCAATCTGTTGTCTACGACACCACCTTGCTCCCTTGGCTTCATAGATAAGCTACATGAGGGGTGGAAACAAGAGACTTGGCTTTGACGAACAACCTCCCTAGCGTTCTCCAAACTATCGCCTCTGACCTGTGGGATGCGAGCGCCATCGGGCTTGAAGATGTCTCCAAAGGGAGAGGTACGAAGAAGCGTTTCAACGAATTGGACGTGGCGTGCCGAAATTTCTAGATCCAACGGATTCGAGTTGAATTGAGGATCCCAAGTAGGAAGCTCGTCAACATCATCACTGGTGATGTGGATACTTCCACGGGAAAAAGGATGGTTCAACATTGTCATGACTGTCAGATAATTCTCTGGGCTTGTCGGCAAGAGGTAATCCGCCATGCTAGGCGGGTCGTGCAAGACAGTGTGCGCCTGCGAGGGAAAGAGGAAATACTGGACACTTGGCTCATCCGGTTCTTCGAGAAGCTTGCGAATCATCTTTCTATCTTGAGTCTGCACATGCTCATCATACGAGGCAAACAGCGCTTTCTTTGCGTCTTGAGAGTAAACACCTTCTTCATCGGCAAGCGGCACATATGCAACGCTGATATTAGATTGGCCCAAGGGGCCCCTGCCACCGTCTTGGTATTGCTGTAGAAGAGCATTGAGGACGTCCGGATCCCGTAACACGTCTCCCGAAGGAACTCCAGGATTGACCTCAAATGACTGGCATGTAATGGGATGGTCCTGCAGATTCTCCCCGACATTAGAGTTGTCGACTATGACGGGAATATTCAGGCTCTCGAGGAGCGACCTGCTGCCAATCCCGGAGAGTTCGAGGATCTGGGGTGACATAAGAGCTCCTGCAGCGAGGATGATCTCGCCACCGCTCAGCGTCTTTTCACTGCCATCCTTTGATCGGATGAGCACACCAACAGCAACAGGCTCCCCTTTGGAAGTGTCGAAAACAATTTTCTTGACCGCCGTCTCCGTGAAAACTGTCAAGTTCGGTCTGCTCGCAATCTCGGGAGTATAATGCGCGCTGGCGGCATGACTTCTTGTTTTAGTGGTAGGATTGATACTGCCGCCTTGCTGAAATGCTCCCAGGCCTTTCCCAGTTCGCGGGTCTGTTTTCATCTTCAACCCAAGCTTGGAAAAGGTCTCCATCCAGACTGCGTTTGGTGTGCTGTAGCCTTCGCTATAGGAAACCTGGACGGGCCCATTGCCAACTAGTGAGTCGTCATGATATGCGAGACCAAGAGTTTCTTTGGCAGCTTGAGGAGGAGGGTGGACCGTCACGAACTTGCGCAAGTACGGCGAGAGGGAATCATAGTCCCAGCCCTGATTTCCCAAAGCACCCCAAGCGTCAAGGCTACCTCTGGGAGGAAATAAGAGCATCATAAAGTTAATCGCAGATGACCCTCCCAGCTGCTTACCGCGAGGCTGGTTGATAATCCGGTTGTTGAGTCCCGACTGGTAGTTGATGTCAGTTCAAGACTGGGCAACTATCTTCCTATACTGGAGCTACTCACCTGAGGTGTTGAGCTGAAGTTCCAGTCGTATTCAGGCTTGCCATACATTCCAAGGACAAGGCCTGGGGTCTGAACGAGAGCATCACTGGTGCGATCTTGCCCGGCTTCGATCACTAGGACCTTGATGTTTGCATCTTCAGTCAAGCGATTGGCAACTGTCAGGCCCGCCGTGCCACCTCCTACAATAATGTAATCGAAGAAATCCACAACGGAGCCCATGATCGGCTTATGGATGAAGGGTATCTACAAGACGATACCGTAGGTTCTGACTCTGTGACTTTTCGAAAAACCGTTGACGCTGCTTCTCACAAATGTGATGGAGAATCCGAATGCTTGTGAGATCACACTT